CTGGTTTTAATCCCCTGGTGTGTTTGTTATGGAGAGGAGGACACCTCTGTGGATGATTCAGCTGCTGGTAAAAACCTGCTGAACGTCTGCTTCATAAGTTATCAGAGAAACAATCAGAACAAAGGTTAGCATCAATCTCAGCTCCAGCTCTTCCCTGAGTCTCTGTCCTCCGTACAGCGTCGCTCAAACACTGACTTTAAATGTCAAACTGCTTCATTCAGTGTTTTTAATGGTTAGAATCACCAGGGCTGTTTGATTTCCTGAACCACTGACACTGAAGGAATCCAAACCGGGAGGAGCTTACGGTAATGGTGGTGAAGACAACAACTCCCATGATCCCACGCTATTTCATGATGTCACCCAATACCGTCTTTTGTTATTGTTTTGATTGAGAGGAACCTAGAGGCAGAAGTTACTGACTGCGTTTAATGGTTCATTATAAACTGATTATTAATTCGGTGGTCACATAACAGTTATGGTCTACAAGTTATTTGCAGTGAATTAAAAATGTGTAATGACCAGTTCCAAAACCAAGCAATCTACAAGGACTGTTTGTTCATTTTAGATTATAATGACTACAATGAATGGCAGGAAATGGAGATGAAATGGAAATGGAGATGATGATAAATGACCTTAAGAAAATATTTTTTACATTGTTCATCTATTATGTGATTATAAAAATGGTTCACTAATAAAATATGAAATTAGTTTAAGTTGCTTTAATGAATGTATGGCCACCAGGTGGCCGAGGATGGAAACACAGCATTGACAAATTATTGCCTTATAAAGTTGATATAGTGAACAAGCTGCAAGCTATACTCATGTTATACACACTAAAGAATTTTACTGTAAAATAACAGTAAAATACTGGCTGCAGAGACACCAGCATTTTACTGTTATTTTACAGTACTGTAATTCATTTTCACAGTATATTACTGTATATTGGATTACTGTAATTTTACAGTATATGGCAGCATGTTACTGTTTATTTACAAAGGGTAGTACAATCTTTTACTTTTGAATTTAATTCCTATAAATCCCCCTTTTTCAAAAAAAAAAAAAAAAAAAAAAAAAAAAAAAAAAGGTAAAGCAAGAAAACATGTCACAATACACAATTAAGAATAAAAATTAGAAGTTAAAAGGTTCTGAAACTTGAACCGGTTAGGAACAACGTTGAGCTAAAATAACCAAACAGGTTTCTGGTAAAAAAAAAGGGCTACACTTTTTTTACAATGAATTACAAGGATGTATTTCTGGTGGGCTTTAAGATGGTGGCAGCACAGCCTTCAGTCAAGGGGAAGCGGGGCAATATAATCCTCAGCTCCTCAACATCACTCACTCTCTTAACTTGAAGGTTTTTGTGGTGCTCCAAGGAGGGGAGGGGGACCCACTCTTCCACAGCCTCACACAGTCTGAAGCCTCCTGATCTCTGGGAGGGGGTTAGAGTCAGAGGGAGAGAAACACAGAGAAAATTATTTAACTTTCCTCTTCTTTTGTTTGCCAGTGATCCTCTGAGGGTGAGTTTCAGGTAACTGGGAAGTCCTCTTCCTTTAGGTGCCAGCAATCCTCTGAGAGGGGGGATTTCCAGGTAAGTGGGGAGTTCTGCCCAACACAGCCCAGTCCAGCACAGCAGCTTCCTCTTGACAGCCCGTGGTCCACAATGTCTGAAAAACACAGTCTTCAAGCCACTCCACTCCACACTAATTAGTTCATTAAATTCACCTGTCACCTCAAGCTCCTCACGGTGCATTCAGGTGCACTGCCACTGTAGGGAAAATAAAAGACATCCACATTTTGGAGAAAACACACTGAGGCTGGTTCAAAACGCCACGTTATGACAAACACACATTTGATAAAATATTACTGTAGTTTATTACTTGTCCTCAAACATTTGTATTACAAAACTGACAAGGTATTTGCCAACCATATTTGGGAGAAGTCTGGGAGATGTCTCCAATAAAATCCTCATCTGCTCTATTAAAATAGCATCAAGAACAGTGTAACAGAACTGTATCACAGTCTAGTAAATGTGAACTGCATGACAGCAAATAAGAAATGGAGAAAGAGAGAGGAGAAAGATGGAGTAACCACTGAGGGGGGACGATTGCAGTTTGCCTGGTATTCTCAATCACCAATGACCAGTGCCTGTAAGAAAAACAAACAAAAAATTGAAAAAATTAGCACTTGTGATATGAAACAACAAACTTCTGAACTTTTGGAAAATTCTATGACATGTAGGATAAACACTCTTAAAAGAAGCATTGTACAACTGTGGGTCCACATGTGCCTGATTATGTTAACATATCAATGCAAGTCTTAGTACACACGTCACATGATGTCATCTTGCTCTAGTCAAACACACTGACTCACCTCATTTCTCCACCTGCTGTCAGAGTCCCCTCTTGCTTTTGAAAATCGTCCCATCTTTCTCCATTGCAGTTGTACAGTCAGCTCTGTATACAGTATACTGTAGCACAAGTAAACAAAAGTTAGCCATGTCTTCACATTGCAATGGGCGAGTAACTTAAATAAAGTTAACTTTACTGGCTGTTGGCTGCCTTTAATCGAGTATCTATGGAAACGGTATCTTATTTACAGAGCTGTTTAATGAAAAGGCTGGAAACAACACCTTCACTGTTAGCTAGCTAATGTTGCTCAAACTGCAGAGCTTGTCTTTGCCAATTTCAGTGAGCTGACCTAATGAGACATTACTGAAATGTCAACAGTTTAATAATCATGCAGAGAAAAAAATACTGGACAATGCTAATTTCATGACATAAGTGTAATGTTATCTTCTTGGTTGAAGTCTGTAGTTAAAGGACTGCTCTCTACCGAAGCTGTGCTCGCTGGAGTCAAGCTCCAAGCCAGACTCATACTGTCACTCAAAAATGAGCTGTATGAGAAGTTTGATTCATATTAAATGTTACAACCAAAACAGAAACATTAGCTTACAATAATAAGCACGATAAAGAGGGAAAATGACTGGAGTTACAAAGGGATGAAAGCATGTGTTTCAAAAGCGTGAAAAATACTGTATTATGCTGATTAATTACAGTTATATACTGTTATTGGTTAACCGACCGCAATAACTGTTCATTTACATGTGAGGGACGAATATTTAACATTATTTTACAATTATTATGAAATACAGTATTATACTGTTATAAATCCACAGTAAATTTACAGCAATTTATTACAGTGCAACCAAAACAATGAGTTATGCAAAAGGCTAAAAGTCCTGTACTGAGGAGAACTCCTTTCACATTACACTAGGTCATTTGATCCAAAATATTCATTAGTGCAGCTTTAAGTTGTGGTAATAAATAAACACAGGACTTTACAGTAGGCTATTTGTAGCTTTAACATTTTACTTTAACCCCCCCCCCCCACACACACACAGACACACACACACACACACACACACTTGTCTATCCCCCCACCCCCACCCCACCCCCCTGCTGTGGGGGCCAAAAACAGCCCTAATGTTGTTCACTTTTTCCTCAGGGTGACTGTGCATTTATCTTTTAGTTTCTAACTCATGAACGCAGATATTAGATTCTATTACATTGATCTTTAATAGACAGTTATAATACAAATTATATGGAACACTCCAAGAAGACATTTATTTTTACATATTTACGATTATTATTTTATAAAAAATCTGTGATAGGCATCAAATCATTCCTAACGCTGATGCATAAAAAACTCTTTCTTTTTAGCGTCAAATCATAATAAACATTAGCTCAGGGAAGCTTACTGGGTAAGGTCAAGACCTACTTTATTTACTTTATTAGAGACCTTAAGACCTTTACTTTATTATAGAGACCATCTGACCATCTGTTGCACCAACAGAACTGGGCTCGGGGGTGGGGGGCTGTCTGCTTCGATCAATTATTATTATTATTATTATTATAATGACTGTTGTAGTTGCAGAGCTGGATCCTGCTGCTCCAAACCAGAGAGAATAGGAGGAGCACACTCTACGGGAGAGAAAAAATCCCTGGTGAAATACAGTCACATTTTTGAAGTTCAAAACTCATAAAAATGGGATACTTATTATACCATATCGCCACCTAATAACATTCGATAATAACGTCTTTTTAATTTGGTTATCAGAGAAACAAAAATATTTTTCATAATCATTTTTATAACTGATTCAGGTCTTCATATCGTAATACTTTCAATAATACGATGGGGTATTAGGGCCACATTGAGGAGAAAAAATCTGAAATTTCAAGAATAAACTCATAATATGAAAAGTCATAAAATTAATAGAATAAAGCTGTCATTTTACGAGAAATGTTATAATTTTACAAGAATAAAATCATGATATTATGAGAATGAAGTCATGATATTATGAGAATTCATTTGTAATTGTAGGTTGCGTGTTGTTTTAAGGGAAATATCAGAAGCTTTAAAATGAAGAACGTGGAGCATCCTGTGAAGTTCTTCTTTAGCAGAGGTTTCACAAATAGAGAAAAAAGAAAAAACTTCATCTTTTGTGGTCATCGGCATCATCATCATCATCAGCAGCAGCAGCAGCAGGAGCAGCAGCAGGAGCAGGAGCAGTAGCAGGAGCAGGAGCAGTAGCATCATCATCATCATCATCATCATCATCATCAGCAGCAGCAGCAGCAGCAGCAGGAGCAGGAGCAGTAGCATCATCATTATCTTCATCATCATGACATTGAAAAGACTGAAGAAATTCAGTCTATTCTATTGTTAGACAGACAAACAGCAGCTGCCAGAAGCAGCTCAGGGTTACACTGACTGTCCTTTCACCCGTTTGATTGGTTTGATCGTAACCAATTCTCGTAATATTATTTTAATGTAATGACTTTTCTTGAAATACTATGACTTTTTTTAAAACGTAAAAGTATGACTTTATTCTCGACATTTCATATTTGTTTTTTTTCCTCAATGTGGCTCTAATACGTTGTACGATAGCGTATGAACGCATCTGTCGCGGTTAAATGACGTCATTATGCGCCAACATTACATCCATGTGGGGCAGTTGCAGAGTTGAGCAGCTTGTTATGTTCCTTGTGTGTTGGACATCAAGGCGATGAAGCTCCTTTAAATCGGTTTGTCTTGGTAACCGTGAAGCGCTGTGACTGTTAAATGAAGCCGGTTCGCTCTCTGCAAACAGCAGCGAACAGGCTAACATCAACAGCTAGCTAACAGGGCAGCAGTCAAGCTCTGCATTTCACACATGGCTGATGACAGTGTGAGAGCTGGGGCTTCAGCCCAGCAGCAGGACGGCAGTGCAAGCAATGAGAAGACTGTGAGCAGTAACGGAGAAGTTGCAGCAGGAAACCAGACTCTGTCTAAAAGGCAAAGGAAAAAGCTCCTGAAGCAGCAGAAGTGGGAGGAGGAGAGGGAGCTGCGAAAGTAAGTAAGGTGTTCCCTGTCACAGTCAACAGCACTGTCAGACATCAAGGCATTCAGCTACAGAGGTGTGATAGCAGAGCCTATTCATATAACATGTCATGGTGCTCATTATAATAGGCACCACGACATGTAATGTCACATGTCACTGATGCATTTTTGGGATAAACAGTTTGCAACAGTTTGTGTTTCTGTTGTAGTTTATTTATCTATGCTCTAGTACAAAAACATAGAGCACCATACTTGTTAATGTATAAAATCTGAGGTGCCGAGTTTATTTACAATTCACTTGGTCAGGAGGTCACATTGAGTCACATTGAGATCTCATTTACAATTGAGATCTGAGTACAGAAAAAATCATTTATGTATTCATACAAACAAGTGGACATGTGTTTAAACAGGGATCAAAGTGTACATCTAAATGCTTTTAAATATGCATAAGAAGATACACAACCAGGTGGACAATAAGATTGACAACTTAAAGGTTGATAACAACAAGTTAGAAAAGAGTTTAAGTAAAACAATTAAACCCCAAGTAAGACTTCTAATCAAATTTTTGAAAACTCCCTTAAAACTGCTCAGAGGAACCACTACTTAAACAAGGTAAACATCTCCAATAACTCAGCTACTTAAAATTATTAGTAGTCATTAAGATTCTCTGAAAATGACGGTGTGATTATGGTGTTTTTAAATGTTTTACTACAATGTGAGAGTCTGCAGCGAAGTGTCACATCATAGTCCACATTGCAGTTGCTTGTTTGTTTCTACTGCAGGCAGAAACGAAAGGAGAGGAAGCAGCAGCGTCGCCTGCAGAGGCAGAACCACCAGGAGGAGGAAGGAGGAGACAATCCAGGAGCCAGGAAACGTCCACGCAGAGAGGTGACGCCCAGCTCTCTCAGACTAGTGGTGGATTGCAGCTTCGACAACCTCATGCTGATGAAGGTGAGCATCTCTGGGAGTCACTGCAGAGGGATACTGACGTGTTTTGACTCAGAGATTCTCTTGACCACTGATGTTGTGTTTCAGGATGTCCGGAAGCTTCACAAACAGATCCAGCGGTGCTATGCTGAGAACAGACGAGCTGCACATCCAGTACAGGTTAGTGGCTCCTGGCCGACACATGAAGCAGTAGAGACGATGCTGTCTGATGTATAACTGCTGCTCTCACGTCTCCAGTTTTATCTAACGAGCCTCGGTGGACAGCTGAAACAGAGCATGGATGAAAAGGACAAAGGATGGGTGAACTGGAAGGTAAGCAAAGCTGTAACAAACAGTTAGCTAATCCATTAGTAGACCAAAAGAAAATGAATTGGCATAAACTAGTCAGTATCTTCTATAATGTATTTATATGTAAGAAAAACACTTCTAAAAAATTGAGCTTCTGTGCCCAGAGAAGAGAAGCTACATGAGACTAATTAATGTTATTGTTTATTTGTATAGGCACAAGTATAAAGCGTGAGCCAATGCCACATACCACAGCATTTATAGCCAAAGCTAGTTTGCAGCTAGCTAAGGGGCTGTGTAAAAGTAAATTATACAGTTTTCTAAGTCAGACATATAATCGTCCACAAATGTGACTTTGATTAGGCTGAAAAAATACTGGTATGAAACAGGAAGTAATGTTTTTAGCCTTTCCAAATTAAAGGGGCATCTCTAAAACTGATATTAAAAGTTACATTTTGACTTTTTTGTGTCAAAATACTCCTGTTGGATGTACTTCATTAGCTGTATTCCAGAGAATAGCAGTGCTTCAACCAATGGTTATTTTCTCAATCGATTGCTATAAAATATAAAGAAATTGGTCAAAAATGGTCTTTTCTCAAAACAAAGACATTCAATTTACTGTCATATACAAAGAAAAGCATTAGGGCCCGTATCCACAAAACATGTTAAGGCTAAAACTAGCTCCTAACTTGCAGATTTAGGAGAAACTCCTAAAAATAATGGGTGTGTCAGTCCTAACTTTAGGACTCCTCATTTTTTTGGCTAAGAGTAATTCACAAAGCCACTTAGTGCTAAAAGTTGCACCTAAGTCTGGGAGAAGTTAGAAGTAGTTGAAAGGACTCCAAACTTGTGAAGGTGCAATAACTTTTCCTACCAACTGAAACAACCTGATCAGAACAAATTCATTTTCAGTTGTTGTTTCAGCTCTTGAGAAATCATGGAATGGACACATTTGTTAAAAAATGGCACTTTTGTACTGTGTTTGGTGAACATTACATGTTCCTAGATGTTCTTGACACCCAGCACAGATTTTGAGAAAAAAAAAGAAAACTGCCTTTATTTTTGAAGGTATGTTGCGCAAAGCAAAAGTTCTCTGTCATCTACACACTATCTGCAGTGTCTGAATACAAATAAAGTGAATCTAAAGCTACTGTTCATGCTATTACTATTTCCTGTTAATAATAAAATGAAACTTCTTTTTCAGCAGCATTTAGAAAGCTCTGTGGCCTCTTGTTATAAGAAAGCCACTACATTTAACTCTGTGCAAGTTTTTGACACAAAATGTAAAGTGCTTTTTTTTCAGTGAACGTGATACAGAGTGTAGTGAACAGAATAAAACCTAAATTAAATCAGTATTTGTAATAAGTCTTTTTTGTTTATGCTCCCATTATTCTTCCATTGTTTAAAGAACTAAAAATTAATTTTCTCTATTTAACAATTGGATAGAAATGTCAAAAGTGCCTATGACAGGAAACTCTTTATACTTATGTCTGAATATAATTTATTCTGTCCTCTTGCTCAGTTCCTTATTTCTCTTTAATTAGTTTAATGGCTGTACTTGTCTTTTACTTTCATGTTATTTTATTTAACATTTCAATCATGTTTGTTTTGTATTTGTGGTTATGAAAGGAGGGTTTCTCATCCATGTGTTATAAATAAAGTTAGTTGAAAAAAAAAATCCCTATGAATTCTCCTTCACATCTTTCTTTGACCTCATGATGTTTCCCACCGAGGTCGGGGAGAGGAGGTTAAAGAGGAGATTAGTTTGACACTTCAACTGGATTTTAGATAGACCTGTGCTTGTACCATGTGTCTAAGTGTGTCTTTGCATGTCTGTGTGCAGGACATTAACATTAAAACAGAGCACTACAGTGAAGTTGTGGCTATAGAAGATCTGGTGTACCTGACATCAGACTCTCCCAATGTGCTGGAGGAGCTGGACCAAAAGAAGGCCTACATTATTGGAGGTCTGGTGGACCACAACCATCATAAGGTTTGTCTGACTTCAGTGCTGCTGGTTGTAGAAACATAGCTGAAAATGATGGAGACGTTCCTCTAACTGGCACATCATATTCACATCCTTGATGGGTTGAGCTGGTCAGTTCTCTCTCATTTGCAGGGGATCACCTTTGAGCGGGCGAAGGAGCTGGGGATCAATCATGCTCAGCTTCCTCTCAGCAGCTTTGTCAAGATGAACAGTCGCAAGGTTCTGGCAGTCAACCATGGTGAGTACATGTATCAGACCAGTACATGAGATTGATATGAATAGTTTTAAACCTCTGCACAAATAGCTCTAATGTGTTCTGTCTACAGCTCTGAGGTAAAATTCCCCACATTTGCCAGTGACCAGTTGTAGTTGGGATTGTGTCCAATAAAAGCTTAGCAGCCACAACTACAGTGACCACAGCAGGTCTTAAAGCTTTGGATTTCTCCTCCTGCCTTGGCTTCTGATTAGAGCAGTACTTGGTACATATAGACCGTCAGATTGTCTGAGCCTTTCAGAACCAAAAACACATGTTAGAAATAGATTAAAATGTTTTTTGCTTCAACATCAGCACACCTGGCTAACCAGCTTTCTAATAACTTACCGTGACTTCCAAGGCCAAGAGTTAGCATATCAGAAGCAGAGGAACTTTCCCCCCTACTGTTTCTGAGTGATATTAATGTTGGCACTGCTGTTGTAAAGAAGAATATAGTCGTTTCACCACTGCTCATTTTAGAAAGATAATAATAATAAAAATAACGTTATTAATATAGCGCTATTCAAAACAGAGTTACAAAGCAATAAAAGACAGAAGAGAGGCAAAGTGTCAGTTAGCAAGGCAAGTATACAGGGAGAATCACAAATATGTGTGTTAAAACAATGGAATCAATAAAGCAGAAAAAAGAAGATAAAACCAAACCAAACCAAAAATGAAAAGTAGAAACCAAAGATAAAAATATTGAAATCAAGAATTAAAAGCTGCTTCATACAAGTATGTTTTGATTAGTGTTTTAAACTGGGGCCTGATCTCCTCAGGCGGGACACTCCAAAGTCTGGAGGCTCTAATAGCAAATGCACAGTCACCTTTGTTTTTTAGCCAAGACTTTGGGACAGATGAGTTCATCTCAAGGATCTCAGGAAGTGCGTTTGGTCATAAGCGGAGAGAAGGTCTGAGATGTAAGAAGGTGCCAAACCAGACAGAGCCTTAAAAGTGATTTAAAAGTTTTAATTTTAAAATTGATCCTAAAAGACATCGGTAGCCAGTGTAAGGAGGATAAGATAGAAGTTATATGGAACCAGTTAGGAGTCTAACTGCAGCATTTTGTATGAGTGGCAATGACCAAAGAGATTTTTGGGAGAGACATGTAAACAGAGAGTTGCATTAATCAAGACATGATGAGATGAATATGTGAATAACCTTCTCCAGATCAATGAATGACACAAATGATTGGATTTTGGCGATAGTCTGTAGCTGATAAAAACGTGAGTGGACAACCTTTTTTATGTGGAGGTCCAGTTTGAAATCATACATTGAATATTACACCAAGATTTCTGGCAGAGATCTTTAGGTTGGAAGCCAGTGGACCAAGGATGTCGGTATCAATCTGAGCCCTGACAATGAGAAAGACCTCAGATTTGGTGTCATTGAGCTGGAGAAAGTTTTCAGACATCCACCTTTTAATCCCTTAAACAATGGTGCAGGGTTTGCTGGCCACAAGATCACTGCCAGGAAATGTGTGATTTGTTTGGATTATCAAATGGACAATGAATTATTTGTTTTTGCCCTCTAGCAGTAGTGTTAGCAACATAGCTACTGCTGTTAGACTGGCTAAAGCAAAAAGAAAATGGAAAAATCCCATTTTGAACCAGAAACCCTGATCTCAGTGCTGTGATAAAGAAGCAGATTAGAATGACCCGTGTAGCAGCTATAACCGAGTGGGCGGGGCTCAGCTGGTTGTAAAGATGGCTGTGTGAGAGAGTCGGTTAAATTCCCATGGAATGCCATCTAAATCAATATTGAATAAATAAATACATAAACAAATGAATATAGCTATGAAATAAATCCTGAAATAAATAAATTAGGTAATAAATATGTAAATATGTAAATATATGTGAGTCAGTAAATAAATAAATAGCTATATAAATGAATGAATAAATAAATAAGTAAATAGATGAATAGATAGCTTTTTATTTTAAAAATTTAATTTTTATTTATTACAGGGGACTTTTATTTTATAATTCCACATTAATTCATCTCTGAAGTCTTTTCCATCTGTTATATTTAAATGAGGCTGTTATCTTACAGATTCAGACCAAAGCTACAGCACTGAAATAAAAGTCTTCTGAAATAAAAAAAAAATTGAAATTATAAAATTAAAGTCCCCTGAAATAGTCGTCATTTTTGAAATAAAAATCTATTTATTTGTTTGTTTACTTATTTATTTATTTACTCACTTATATATGTTTACATTTATTTATATATTTCTACATATGTATATTACTTAATTTATTTATGTCAGGATTTATTTCATAACTTTATTTATTTATGTACTTATCTATCTATCTATTTATTTATTTATTTGTTTATTTATTTCATATTGAATTAGATGGCATTCCATAAATTCCTGCTTTGACTCTCATGTGTACGTTTATCCATCCTGCAGTGTTTGAGATCATCCTGGCGTATGTGGAGAAGGGAAGCTGGCAGGAGGCCTTCTTCACCGTCCTGCCTCAGAGGAAAGGAGCGGTAGCTGTCGATAAAGACAGCGCAACCGCTCCAGAAAAAGAGGAGGAAGATTCAGACTCTGATTCTGACCTTGACACACCAGAGCAAACAGAACAGAATCTAACACTCAGCCCAAATGGACAACTCCAAAAAAGTCCTAATGTCTGATACTGTAGGAAACTGTTTTGATTTAATGATGCTAAGGTTATATTGGAAAGTTGTTTTTTTTTTCATATTTCAAAATGCTTTTTGTTTTTTACTAGATATTTATTGAACATTTTACTTTGTGCTCATTTAATTACTCAAATCAGTTGGACTGTTGATATAAATGGAGAATTTCAGTTTTGCTACAGTTTTTTGGCAAAATATAGCTTATTATTATTATATTCAAGAAAGTGATTTTTACTTAGATTTTTATTCTTTTGCTTGGAGCTGAAAGCTAAAGCTGCCAGACCTGTGCCAAATGAAAAGATTTAATACAGGATAAAGTCAACATATGACCATCATTTTCACTGGTCCGGAATTTCCTGGAATATTATGATTTTTTTTTTGACAGTATAGTCTGGATATAAAATTGAAATTTGAAATAGACTTTGGAGAATATCAATTTTTGCAACTTGATTGAAAATTATATTTTCAAAGAAAAATTTCCAAATTTTTGGGATGTATTTCTTTGATTTGTTGCCCTTGGTCAATCAAAGCATGCAAGGTGAGCCAAAGCATATTGGGGCCCAGTGGCACCTTAAGGAGATGTTTTCAGGAGACAGTGTGAGCCCACAGGGGGCAGTCATGGTCCACATTGGACAATAGAAGAAGGCCCAGGGGGGGAGATTGTGTTTTGATAAACCACCTGCATCTTATTTGAGTATGGGGGGCCCCAAAGCGAATTCAACATCCCAGACTGTGCCTACTATGCCTGTGCTATAGGTCAGACCTGGCCTGACTGCAGCCACAGCAAATTGCAACATGAGTTAAGCATTCAGTCTTTAATGTTACACCTGTTCTGAAAGGAATCTCTGCTACACAAACTGAACGTGCATAGATTAATTTACATTTAGCGTGTTTATGTTATACAGATATGTTCTGGACCCAGGGACAAGACCCATTGTAATTTGAGCCCAAGAACAATCAGACCCATTGCTGCCTCACCAGCCATTAGATAGATAGATAGATAGATAGATAGATAGAAAGAATTTGGTGTCCTAAATTCTGACTTCATGTCTTGACTCAGAAAGTGGACAACTGCTCAAGGGTCCCAGACCTTCAGGTTCACTGTGTCGCATTTACTCTATGGTCATTTCAAAATAGCATATTTAAAAATGTACATTAAAGTTAAACTTAAGTTGTTTTTCATTTTTGCTAGGGATCTGTAAGGGCCCACCACTGTATAGAAGCAGTCTGAAAGCTGTTCTTCCACTGTTTCTATGGGTTAATTGTGGCTTACAATATGCATTGGTGGGAAACACGACGAACTGTCGAATCACGTCACCAACTGAGGCAGGTAAAATATGGAGAAAGATTATGTAAATACCGTCCGCGCCTAAAACACATTTAACATATTTATGAATGGGAAGGACAGCTCTGGTTGCTCCAGCAACTAAACCCAGAAGTTGTAGTATCCATGGTAACAAGGCAAGGTAACGCTAAACCCGAGAAGAGTAGGCTTTGATCGGTTGAAGCAGAAGCCTGTTCGTTTTGATACATCAAACCGGAGGGTCCAATGCCGCGAAAAGCGCTGAAAGTGTTGGTTGAGTTAAAGTTCAGAGCGGTAAGACTCGTAATTGCTCTCATTGAACTGAGCTCCTGAAACTTCATTGGTTCTGTGTGGAGTGAACGGTGCGGTCAACTCCAGTTTACATTCTAGTCTCAGCCATTTTTTATTTAGCTGTTTAAAAACACGTTTTTCGTATCGTATCGTCGTCTCCCGCTTATCCGGATCCGGGTCGCGGGGGCAGCAGCCTCAACAGAGAGGTCCAGACGGCCCTCTCCCCAGCCACTTCCACCAGCTCCTCCGGGAGAATCCCGAGGCGTTCCAAGGCCACCTGAGAGATATAATCCCTCCAGCGTGTCGTTGGTCGACCTCGAGGTCTCCTCGCGGTGGGACATGCCCGAAACACCTCCCTGGGGAGGCGTCCAGGAGGAATCATCACCAGATGCCCGAACCACCTCAACTGGCTCCTCTCGACATGGAGGAGCAGCGGCTCTACTCCGAGTCCCTCCCGGATGACCGAGCTCCTCACCCTATCTCTAAGGCTGAGCCCGGCCACCCTGCGGAGGAAACTCATTTCGGCCGCTTGTACCCGCGATCTCGTTCTTTCGGTCATTACTAAAATGACTGTTAAAAAACTAAAATTACTGCTAAAAAACACGTTTTTAGCACCGGATTTACAGTCGTGTATGAAGTTTCAAGGGTCACACGCGTCGGCATATATTTTATGCAGCGAATATATGTTTTACCTGTTAGATAATCATTTTTAAATTCTGTTCACACCGCCCAGGTGATATGTTAAATTGTAACAGGAATTTATTCACCTATTTCTAATTAATTAACATGGTTATTTTTTTCTGTGATTATTGGTTAGTTTTATAATTGCTTTTATTAATATGATAATAATAATGACAATAATAATAATGATATTTATTTGTATAGCACTTTTCAATACAAGTAACAAAGTTCTTCACATGAGTCAAATATAAACATCCAAACAAATCAAAGTGAAATGTAAATGAACTGACAGCAAAGGCCCGTCTCCTTTGGTTTTCAACCTAGACCTTGGTTCATAGGGGGATAAAAGCTCAGACATATATTATTGCTTTTAAGGACAGTGCAGAAGGATATATATATATATATATAGTCAAGCCTGAAATTATTCATACCCCTGGCAAATTTTGACTTAAAGTTACTTTTATTCAACCAGCAAGGTTTTTTTTGACCGGAAATGACACAGGCTTCTCCCAAAAGATAATATGACGATGTACAAGAGGAATCATTGTGGAAAAAATTTTCTCAGCTTTTATATACATTTGAACAAAAAGTGGCATGTCCAAAATTATTCATACCCTTTGCAAACTGTCACAGTCTATGGGAAAATCCAAAGTTCTATACCATTCCAAATAGTCCAAGCTGTTCTAAAGCATCTTAATTACCCTGATTCATTGGGAACAGCTGTTTTAATCAACTTAACAGGTGAAAAACAGCAGCTCTCTGCAGTTGGTTTGTGGACAGTCATGGCTGAGACAAAGGAGCTCACTGAGGACCTGCGGCTGTGCATTGTGGCTGCTCACAAGTCAGGAAAGGGCTATAAGGCCATATCTAAATGTTTTCAAGTTCCAGTGGCTACAGTGCAAAGTATTATTAAAAAATACAAGACGTTCCGCACTGTGGAAAATCTCAGAGGACACCTGTGCTGGTCAGGAGGATAGTGAGAGAGGTGAAGAAGAATCCAAGGTTCACCACCAAGGCCATCCTGGTGAATCTGGGCTCTGCTGGTGGCAATGTCTCAAGGCAGACAGTCCAACGGACACTGCACACTGCTGGGTTCCACGGACGCAGACCAAGGAGGACGCCACTTCTCCAGATAAGG